GCCGTCGGGATGGGCGGCTGCTGAGGCACAACGAAGAGCCCCTTCCGGCCAGACAAGCATCACCTGCTCAGCCGGCAGCCAGGGGTGCCAGGTGGCCGCCAGGGAGGCTGGGGAGAAGCAGCGCCGCTTCTTACCCTCTGCCGGGCTTGGTCGTACAGAGGTCCCCAAAAGGGGCTGTGGTTTCTTCCCCCTGCCCGCCTCTCCCTCCGCTCTCTGCAGCCTACTTACTTTTAACCTGCTTCGTGATGGGCTTGAGGAGTTCCAGCCAGGCCTGCAAAGAGAAGCCAAGAGAAACCGTGGCCAAATGTCTCAGCCAGGAGCAAAAGGCCAGGAGAAGGAACCGGGAGGGTCCGCAGGAGGTAAAGGGCCTGATTTGGGAGTCTTGCCCACAGAGCAGAAGAGACGCCTTCGGGGCAAGGAACCGTTTCTTGTGCAGAGCCCTTGCGTGAGCCGCTGCCTTCCCTGCAGCTCGCTGGGGTCCTTTGGAGAGGGCAAACCCCACTTCCAGCCAAGCAGCCCCCAACACCCCTTTGGCCTCTGCCCGTTTCAGCCACACTGCCAGCTTCCTACCATTTGGAGAGGGGGAGACCCATGAAACCCGAAAGCAGGCTTAATGCAATTTTAGACTCCCCTCAGCCTCTCACCTCCACCCCCATCCTAGCCAGCCACATGTCTGGTTTGGTTCCCCCCATGTGGCATCCTTACACACACACACACACACACACACACAGGTGGTTCTTCCCCTTCCCCCTCCCCAACTTACAGCATGCCCTGCAGGGCTCCAGAAATCCAGTCCAAAATATTCCTTTTCTGCAAGGTTCAAGTGGTTGCAGCTCAGGTTAAATAATGTTTTCCCGGAGGACTTTTGCTAAAGGACCAAAAAGGGGAAGAAAAGGAGATGGTGGGAGAGGGAGGGAGGGAGGGAGGGAGGGAGGAAGGAAGGAAGGAAGGAAGGAAGGAAGGAAGGAAGATCAGACATAATAAAGGGAGATAAATAGAGTTTTTTCCCACAAGAGAACCACCCAAGCGCCATGCC